GGAATTGAAGAGTGGAGATCTAAAATTCTAACAAGAGTATTAAATATTAATAAACAAAAAAAAAAAAAAATCTCTTCCATAAATATAGAAGAATCTCTAGTGATATTAAAAAATCTAGACAGAGAGTCAAAATCTTGAAAAATTAGTCAGCAAATTCAATACCAATTTGATACACCACAATAAATTCCCATTAGAAAAAAAACTTTCCATGCAATAATCACATTTCAAGAAACGCTCACCTTTGGTAATTAATTATATAGTTTGTTTTCTTTATAAACCCCTAGATTACTCCAATCTGTAACCCCAAAACTCAAGATATGCCAAAGCATCTTCCTAAATCTCTTAGCGATTATCTCTCTAAGATAAAAAAACCATCCAACTCTTTTCAAGTTTCCTCCCTTTCATTTTCTAGGATCCTTTCCGGCTGCCGCCACCCTAGGACCCCATCGTTTGCCCAACAAAACGCCCAAAACGACCACGACCACGATGCCGCCACACTTTCAGATATCGATCGTTTCCTCTTTGAGAATTTCAGGTCTCTTTATATCAGAGACGACGATTGCACAGAAAGCAATCGAAACCACGACGTTAAGGCACGGCCCCAAAGTCCTGAGAGTAGTACCACTGCTACTCTGTTTGAGCCACCGAGGTTGATGGATCCACCTCCGGATCTTTGCGGGTCAAATCGGTTCTTCGTGGTCCCTGGGTCATCCGGTTCAGTAACAGAGGAGGGCCAGTCAACGACAAGATTTGGAAAGACATGGCTGAAAGAGTCATCGGAAGGGGAGGAGTGCATCGCAGTGTTGAGGTACTCGAGGAATCCGCAGGAGGATTTTCGAAGGTCGATGCAGGAAATGGTGGAGGTGAGAGTGGAAGAGGAAGGAAAGGTGGTGAACTGGGATTTCATGGAGGAGCTGTTGTTTTGTTTTTTGAATTTGAATGACAAGAAATCATACAAGTACATACTCGGCGCTTTCGTTGATGTGGTAACCGCTTTGCGACAAAACGACGGCGCATCCAAGGGGAGGAGGATAGCCACAGAGAGAGGGCCAGACACTTGAGATTATTATTAGTAATTTTTTATTTGATTTTTTTATATTAATTGTGGCAAAGATACGGGAAAGTAATTACGCATTATCCCATTATATTCTATTCATCCTTACATCAACGAATTTATTCAAAACAAATATCGACTTTTTGTTCCTTTTTTTAACTTTAATTAATTAAGATTTGCATTTAAATTTTTTGGTCAATTAATACTCAATATTAAGTATAATAGGAATTGAGATATAAAAATCATGCTCCGAGGAGAGCAATTTCACCTTTAAAAAATCGAATTGAGGGGCATAAGCTACAGCTTCCAAGATTCTTATTATTTTTTTTATTTTTATAATTATAAATTAAGAATTTAAGAATGCTTTTATGAGACGTTCATAACAAAATTCTCAAAATTACTTCACTTTCAACTGATAGTACTTATTTGTTCTTTTCATGTTTTACTAAATTCATTTATTTTAATATCTATTATTTTGATCGATAATGTTTTTAGAATTCAATGATAAAAAAAATCATAAATATTAAAATTTAGATGTCATTTTAAGAGATTTTAACTAATACAACTGCTAATTTAATAATGTAAAATCTCTATTTTTAACTTTATTCCTCAATAACCATATAAACTAATTATAATTGAAGCATAGAGTATTAACTGAGTTTTAAATATATTTTTCCAAAATTTTGTATTTTTGAGCAAATGGAGAAGTACGTCATATGATGTAGTCACTTTGATATGAACCTTTTTTTTTATACAACTAGACAATTCTTACTAAATAGTACTTAAAAAATATATGAGTATATATTTTGATTTCACTTTTACATAACTAACAAATATTATTATTTACTTCAATAACTTGATAAGTACATAGGAGTCTTTCATTGATGATTCTCCAAACGATGGCTTGAGAGATACCTTGAATCCTTGTTTTCTCTAGTGGCTTCAACTTGTAAAGCTACCCACTTGTGTTTTTTTTCCATAAATTTCTAAATACATCTTTGGCAACCTAACTTGTCATTATATTATCCATTAGAAAAAAGTATTGAAATCTATTTATCTTGCATAACTATGTGAGTGAGCAATTTTGAGAATTTCTTGGACAATTTTTTTCTTATCAAATTCACTAATAAAAATAAAGAATTTTTATTATAATAATAAATGATTATTTAGTTGATCGATATAAGAATATCTCAAATACATTTGCATTTTAGGAATAAAATTCTTGATAATCTGAGTGCTCATAGAACTTTTTGAATATTTATAGGTTCTCTGTTACTCACAAGTTTACGTTATTTTTTTAAAATAAATTGTCTAGTTTATTGAATATTCTTCAAAAAAAAAAAAGTTAGACATAACCTCATATATTTATGAAGGCTTTAGATATTTTGTGCTAACAAACTTAAGACATTCCTAATCATCTAGCCTAAGGATTTGAACTTACTTACTAGAGCCTAATTAAATTCTTTAGTTTTCCAAATGTCAAGCCAATCCACTAAACTTCTTTGGCTTGAAAAGTATCCAATACATGGAAATGAAGTCCTAAATTTGATTTTCGTTAAAATTCGATCAAACTCTTAAAATTTTCTCTCTAAAATCATTTAATTATCAATAATGAATGATGGCATGAATTGATAGTAAAATTAAACATATACTTAATTATTATAGATTTACAAATGAAAATAAGAGATTTACTCTTCCATCCAACTAGTTTAGCTTTCATGTTTTCAGTGATCTCTTAAAAACTTGGTCTGATTGAAGATGTTTTTCATGTTAATAAGGGAGACCTACATATGTAGGTTATGTGAGTGAGTTTTAGACTACAAGTATTTTTGTAATCCTCCAGCATTTTACTATTAATATTTTCCTTATTAAAGAATATGGAGGATTTGTGTACATCATCTTTTGCAGTAGATAATTTAGTTGTTAATTATCAACCGTAATTATTTTTATTTATTTATTTATTTATATATTTTTAAATATATTTTGTGCTCATTTTATTCTTATTGTAACATGTCTGATGTGACAAGATATTCATCCTCAATTTATTACATAATTTACCAATCAAGGAAGAAATAAAGAAATTAAAATAAGCTAAAATCTAAATTACAACATAATTAATTAATGTCTACTTCAAGAGGTCTCCATCTAAAAAGGCCTCTTTCATATCTATTTTTATTTTTATTTTTATTTTCACTTTCTTTAGTTTATTTTAATTAAAGCATAATAGTAGTAAAAGTTTGTGACAACTAAATTTCCCTCATTCATCCATATGCAAACACATACAAGCAATCAAAAACTGCATATCCTCATCATAACATTCTTACCCAAGTATGAACAATAGCATAGACATAAATACTAATAACAAAAACCAAACAAACAACCAATAAATTAATGATCATAAAGACCTTTTGCATCTCTCTCCTCAAAACACCTTTTACCTTTTTTCCTTTTTTCTCCCCCTTTGGCGTTTTCTTCAACTACAAAGAGAGAAATGATAAAGACGTTGGGGGTTGTATTAAACGATGTCGTTTGGACGCAATAGGGGCTGAGTCCTGCGCTGGGCCTCGCGTGAAATGGGTGACTGGGTCTTCTTTTGATTTTAAATTTAAACCAAATCCAAATCCCTTTTTTCTTCTTTTTAATCTTTCCTTTTTTCTTTTCCCACATTTCTTTTTCTCTTTTTTCTTTCTGTCATTTTTTTTACCTTTCTTTTTTCTTCTTCTTCTTTTTTTTTTTTTTCTACTTACTTTTTTCTCATTTTCTTTCTGTCTTCTCTCCGCTTCCTCTTCATTCATTTATTTATTTATTTTCAACACTTTCCACCATAAAATAAAACAAAATTAAATACAAAATAAATAAATAAATGAGATAAATTTAACGCAGCTTATAAACAATGACAAATTAAAATAACAATAATAATAATAATTGTGATGAATCTTAAAATCATGGGTAAATTAAAATTGAGTTTAATTTTCTCAAATAGAAAAATTTTATAATTATTTTTTTTGTTATTATTAATCTTATTGTTAGTTCTATTATTATTCCATTATTTATTTTTTCATCTCCTTTATTATTGTTATTTTATTTATTCTATTTGGACAAAATTAGTGAATGACATTATATAGTTTGATAAATTTTGTTACTACGTCTTTCTCTTCCTCCTTGGCCTGATAGAAAATGAAACTATCATCTCTAATAATTGACGATTAGTGCAAAAAAACTTATCTTGGCTTAATTGTCATGTAATATGTATATTTTTCAACTTCTAGTAATATGCAAGATATAGTCTTTATGCATATAATAGATAGAAATAAAGATGAAGGATCTCATTATCTCAACCCCTTTTAAGGTTTATTCCTCATAAAGAAAACCATTACTTAATACTTGATATGAAACTCCATTTAACTCTATCAAGCCTTCCATATTGTACTTTCATTTATGTTTTGCTTCTTCTC